GGGGGGGGCGGGGGCGGCAACGTACCGTTGGCGATGATGCTTTGAGTCGCTTGCGTGTCCTTTTGCATGCGAAAGCGTCAGGGACGGTGACGTGATGAGAATGAGATAAAGGAGAGGGGGAGAAAGAGAAAAAAAAGAGTAAACGACGTACGACGACGTTGGTGAGGTGCGTGTAGAGCACGCGCGACTTGGAGTGCACGCTGTTCCGCTTGTGGACGAGCGTGAAGTGGGTGACGAAGTAGCGGGAGACGGTCTCGTAGTCGTTCGTCTTGTCACCGAAGGACGTCACGCTGTGTTTGGGCGTGTGCGTTCGTTTCCACCATCGGTTTCCGGGCAAGTTATACAACACACACGCGCGCAAAGAGAGAGAGAGAGAAAGAGCGAGAGAGCGAGAAAAAAAAGTGAGCGAGAAGAAGAAGAGGGGGGAGGGCGGGGAGGGGGGCGCTCACTATTTCTGGAGGCGAAGGCCGCTCTCGAGCTTGGCGCGGAGGACGTCGGTCTTGTTGAGGAAGAGGACGAGGTGGACGTTGGCCAAGAGCGGGTTGGCGCAGATCTGGGTGAAGAGCTGGAGCGAGTCGTCGATCCGGTTCGTCTTCGAGTCTTCCTCCAGGAACTGTGATGCGGGCACAAAACAAACTCGTGAGCGTCTTCACGTCTCGTCTCCTACCGTTAAACGATGTTTAAGATAAAATGGCAGCATCGCACCTGATCGAAGGCGCTGATGGGCGCGAGGAAGATGATGGCTGGCGGAGAGGGAGGGAGGGAGGGAAGGAATAAAAAAAATTGAATGTCAGTCGGGTGGTGTGCGAGGTAAAGGAAGAGAGAGAGAAACGAACGACGATTTACCTTTCGCGTCGTCGAAGTAGGGCACCCAGGTGTGCCGCTGCCCGCGCGCGCCGCCGACGTCGTAAATGCGCCAGGCGAAGGGGGACTGGCCGGGTAAGACGACGTCGAAGACGTGCTCGGCGACGCCCATCGTCTGTATGCGCGCGCGGAGGATGTCGTCCGTCGTCGGCACGTACGACGCCTTCGCGATCCGGCGTATGTTCTTGAGAAAGCTGGCGAAAGAAACGATCAACGCGGAATCAGTGTGACTGGAGAGAGAGAGAAAGAGAAGGGGGGAGGGGGAGGGAAAAGAAGAAAGAGAGGGAGAGGGAGAGGGAGAGAGAGGATGAACGAACAACTCGCTCCATTCGTCGAGCCGGAGCCGCCGGCGCTTCATCAGCGCGAGCACGGTCGGGTGCTCCCACAGCTTGACGACGTCGTCCACGCTCGCCTCGAGCACGCGCGCGATCTCGGCCACCGCCCGGTCTTCGTCCTGCTGGTGCTGCTGCCGCTTCGCCGCCGCGCCGTCGTCGTCGCGAGAGGAGGAGGCGGAGGAGAGGGAGCGCGCGACGCGGGCCTGCCATCCCTGGCGGGCGTAGACGCCGGACCCGGACCGGAGCGCGACGCCCTCGTTGAGCCGGTCCGCGAGCGCGCGTTCCGAGCCGGTGAGGGGCGAGAGGCGCAGGCGGAGCGCGGCGAGCTCGTGTTGGCCCGGCGTGCGGGGTTCGTGGGGGCCGCCGCGCCGGTGGGGGAGGACGAGGAGGCGGGAGGGGGAGGGGGCGAGTTGAGCCGCTTGATGAGCGAGGACCGGGGCTGGTGGTGGGGGTGGGGAGGAGGAGAGGGCGCGGGCGGGAGCGGGGGCAGGCCGAGGCCGAGGTCGGAGGCGGAGGAGGCGCGGGTGCCGTCGGAGGAGATGGAGGGGGAGGAGGGCGCGGAGGAGGAGGAAGGGTCGAAGGCGTCGTTGTGGGCTTCGAGGGTGTCGAGGATGCGCTTGATGGAGCGGACGACGTTCCAGAAGACGACGGTGCGCCAGGAGAGGCGCTCGTCGTCGAGCGAGGTCGGCTTGTACATCAGCTGGAATTGCTTGAGCAGCGTGGATTTGCCTGTGACCCAGGATGGGTGAGCATTGCGATCGTAGGATCGATTCGAGGATATCGTACCTGATTCCGCTTGGCCGAGGAGGAGGAGCTGGAGAACGAACGCATCGTCAGCTTTTGTCGGGCCTTCATGAAGAGACGGAAGCAAAAGAGACGTCGCAGACAACATAACTCTATGTACCTTGACCTCCTGCCGACGCTGCTTCTCCCACTTCTTCCGCTCGTTCTTCAGCTGCTCGTCGATCCCGTCCGACACCCGGCGGGCCTCGTACTCGCGCTCGAGCCGCGCCCGGCGCTCGTCCTCCGTCTCCGTCTCCGGCGGGCGCAGGCACTGCCCGAGCGGGTCGTCCGCGCTGTACATCGACGACGTCCGCACCATCTTCGTCCCCCCTGCGGCCGAGTGCATGTCCGTTGGTTGTTGGGCGTTGGGTGATAGCGAAAGCAGGAGTAACGAAGGAAAAGCCCGCTGATAACGCGAGCCAGTGCGTTGCGTATTATCGTGGGCCTGCTGATGGTATAAGTACCCGGCTACCTCGGCTTTGGCGCTGTATCCGGAGCTTTTCCAGGGCATCGTGGGAACAGCAAAGAGGTCCCCTGACACCGCTTCTTCCCCTAAATTACATCATTGGGGTTACCGCCATTTTGATGCGCCCTTCGGGAGTCGCCGACGCGTCCGACTTTCTCGACGGGGGACCGACACCTCCTCGCGATTGGCGGCGCGGTCCACGGCAAGCGCACAGTTCAAATCTCTCGCAGGCCCTGACGTCGGCTCGTCCATACAATTGCAACCAACCCTTCACGTTCACATTACCTCGACATCCAATTGAAGCCAACGCCGCCGCCTTTTCTCTATTTTCGTTGCGCGGCGATGGTGAGCTGTGCCCCTTCCATCGCCATCTCTCGAGCGCTCCTAACGATCGCCAGTCCAGTCCGTCACGCTTCACACCACCCACGGCGACCTCAAGATCGAGGTCTTCTGCGAGGCCGTCCCCAAGGCCGCCGAGGTTCGCACTTCCCCCAATCCTCTCCTCTATCTCTCTCTCTCATCGACGTATACGATTTCGCGCCAGAACTTCCTCGCGCTCTGCGCCGCCAACTACTACGACAACTGCCTCTTCCACAGGAACATCAAAGGGTTCATGGTCCAGGTGGGCGCCCCAAACGCACTTTTCGTCACGCTATTTCATTCCCGTGGCGCGATCCATTTCAATAGACCGGCGACCCTGGTGGCACGGGCAAGGGCGGCCAGAGCATCTGGGGCGCCCCCTTCCCCGACGAAATCCGTAGCACGCTAAAGGTGCGTTTCAGATCGAACGATACCTCCCCCCCCCTTTCCCGGTTCCGGGCCCGCATCTATCGGCCCCGCAGTACGCTTGAAACGTCGCAGGACGCGACGTACGTTTTGCATCTCCTCCCCAAGGGGCGCGCGGACTGTGAGCGTGTGTGCCTGATTTCGCTGCGTTTCGACCCTTCATTTAGCACCCCCCTCCACCCCTCTGACATACGTCCGGGAGCCGAAGTTACTCTGACTAAAACCTTATCCTTCCTTCCTCCATCTCCCCAGTTCAACGCGCGCGGCGTCGTCGCGATGGCCAACGCAGGCCCCGACACGAACAAGTCGCAGTTCTTCATCACCTACGCCAAGCAGCCTCACCTCGACGGTAAGTAAGCAAGCAAGACCCTTTCCCCTGTTCTCTCTCTCTCTCTCTCTCTCTCTCTCTCTCTGCACTGTCGAAAACACAAAAAAACACAAACGTCGCAGTGGTGAACACGACATATCTCTCTTTCACATTCCCAACCTCGTGGGGGTCGTGATCGAACCGTTTGAATGAACGTTTTGTCCCCTTTCTTTTCTCAGGCAAATACACCATCTTCGGCAAAGTCATCGACGGCGCCGCCGACTCGGCCCTGGACGCGATCGAGCGCGTCCCCGTGAACGCGAAGAACAGGCCGCTGAACGAGATCAAGCTCACCCACGTCACCGTCCACGCCAACCCGATCGCCGACGCCCAACTGCGCTCATGAGTCCGTCGTCGCCAGGGGTTTTCCGGGGAGAAAAAAAAAAGGGGGGGGGGGGGGGGGAAA